ACCAAAATATCAAGCTTTCTCAATTTGAATTTCATGCATTTGCTTAAAATTTCCCAACTTGCATTGGTTATAACTCTCTAAATTTTCATATTTTTAAGGTCATCTGGGACTTTTTGGAAAGCTTAAGATGTCCTCTACAATCTCTATGTTGATTATTTTTGCTTTAGAAGACTTTATCTTGATGTAAGTTGCCTTGAAAAAAAGTGTCTTTTTCTTGACTTTTGAAATGACCTGCAATGTATTGGCTTATATCTCTCAAATGAAGCACTTTTTGAACTTGAGCTTAAAGAGACAAAGTTGTAGAGAATTGAATTCCATTCAAAATGAGATTTTGTTGGGAAAATATGATGAAGCATGTGAAATATATGCTTTGTCAAAGTTCAGTTGACTTCTCCTAAGGAAACCCTAATTTGGCAACTTTTGACTTTTGATGATTTAAGGGATTTTATTGAGGAATCATGATCAATCCTTGATAAAATGATGAATATGACTTCAAAATATTGATGTTGACCAAAATATAGTTAATTTTTAGTCATTCGAGCCATTGACTGAGCAAACATGTGATGCAAGGCTTGAAACTTGACATGAGAATTCTTAGGGACATATGAAGAACCATGAAAATCATTTGATACCTTGGAAACCCAATATTCCTTGATAAATACCAAACCCTAGTTGTGCGTCCATTGCTTAGAAGGAGAATTTATCTGATCAATTCTTGCGCCACTCTGAGCATATGAGAACCTTAGGAGAATGCCTTGAATGAAATGGGAGGGAAAATTTTGGGGTAAAAAAGTGTGTGTTCACCATTGTTGTGGTGTTGAGGTTTTGATGATGTGAAAATATTTTGAGAAATTTAGGAGTTTTGGTGAGTAAATTAGTGAGTTAGTGATTGTAGATGGTCAGGGTTTTTATCTGGGTCAAAATATATTTTCAAATAAGTGTTTTTATGTTAAAATGTGTTTGGGTTAGTAAAACTGATTAAGTTATTTTTGGTGTGCGTCAAAATCGATTTTTTTTGTGATTTGGTACAAAAGGAGTTGACCCTTACGAGCTGGGAGTTGACTCCTAACAACAAGAAACTTAATTTTTTGAAAATATTATAGTAGGAGTCGACCTATAAGAGCTGGAGTAGACCCATAAGACCTGGGAGTCAACCCTTAACGTCCATAAGCTTAATTTTTGAAAATGTTACAGTAGGTGTCGACCTATACAAGCTAGGAGTCGACTCCTAACCATGTTTTTCACATAAAATACTTTTTTTGTTATAACTTTTGATCCGTAAGTCCAAATGAGATATTGTTTAAGCGTTATAAAGCTAACATGGTTTTCTATCAAGTGATAATGTATTCAGGGACCTAATATGTTGTATTAATGTGATTAATTGATGATGCTATTGTGTATTGTTGATGTTATATTGATGATGATGGTTGTGACGAATATGCTTATGAGTTGTGTGTATGAATTGATAAATTATACATGTAGAGGTGTGTATTTTTGAGTTAAAGGTGAGTTTCCATATATGTGAATTGATAACTTGATTGATTAGAATTATTATATGTGTTTTAGTTTTGTTGTTATGCTAAGTATTGTGTTAGTTGTGGTGGTAATCCAGAAGAGAGGGTTATGTGAGTTTTTGAATGCATGTATGTTTGGATTAGAGATGGGCCTTAATGCATTATATTATGATATGAACATGCATCATTTGAGTTATGTCAAGAGGCATGTTCGCTAGTTTAGAGAGGGGACTAGTGGCTTGTCCCAAGCTCAGAGGGGGATTGGAGCTCAAAGAGGGGGCTTGGAGCTCAGAGAGGGAACCCGGTTCCAAAGAGAACCATTATTGAGTTGGAACCACATGCATAAAGTTGCATTTAGGTGCATAGAGTTGAATTTTGAGTATGAGTTACATGATGAGATAAATGTATATGATATTGATGTTGTGTGCAATTGGTGTGTGAATGGTATGTGAATGAGTTGCGATTTATGGGTTGGTGTGAGAATATAATTGATTTACTATGATTTGAGATTGTGTAGATTATGCTATGTGTTAATATTCCACCTTGTAGTATATGCATATTATTATTGAATGTGATTTATCACCCCTTCAGTTTGAATGTTGCCTTTACATGGGCATCATACATATACTCAAGAGTAAGCCGCTGTTGTGAGTGGAAGCTAGCTCCTAGGGCTATTTATTTTAGTTTCCTTATTTTTGCTTTGGTTATTTTCTAATATGTAACACTAGGGAGCATTTTCTTTATTTTATGTTGAGATTTTTGAGAGGCAATGCATGCTCTCATATTTTATGTTTTTGTGTGATAAGCATTTGGAGAAGACTTATGAGTCGATGATTTTTAATTATGATATGTGTTTTATTATGATATTTAAATCGGTGTGTTCTAAATGAGTATTTATGTTGCGGTTATACCCTAAGTAAAGGTGAGAATGCAATGACAAGTGTTGCATGTTTATTTAAATGAAATGTTACATGATCAATAAGTGTGTGTTTCGATAAGTGTTACATCCTATGTGGAGATGTTTGTGAAAAACCTCTGATTTAATTATAACTATGTGTTGGGAAAATAGGGTGTAACATATTACATGAATGGAAAGATGTTATGTTTCCATGATGAATTAACAAGCACACTAATTTCTACTAGAGGTCTCATATCCATATTCAATCGACGTATGTGAAATCAAATGATGATAGTGTGTTAATTCTAATGCCACTACTAGATGTCTCATATCCCTATTCATTCAGTATAAGTACAATAATTTCCCTAGTTCAAACGAATAGGCTTCATCTCAGTATTCCCTATACGTCCATGATCATATTAACAGAGTATCTAAAATAATACGCATAAGCAAAAGAAGAAGTTAAATAGAAACATAAAATGGATTAAATATGCAATAACAAATTAGACATATGTTCCAACAGATTCAAAATAAGTTCATCCTGTAAAACCTAACCTATGAGTGTTTAGATACTTATACTGATACAAATAAATACCATAAAAAAGATGAAGTTTGCATTGAAAAACCCTTGAAGATATAGCCTCCAATGGCTTTCGATGCTCTACAAATCTCACTTCTGGTACTTTATTTCGTCACTTGTAGTCAAAATTTGCAGAACCCCTGAAAAGATGATAAAAAACATCTTTTGAAGCCTTCAGAAACATCTAGAAAGCGTCAGAAAAAGTCTAGAAAAAAGGCCAATCATGCGAATCATAGATAGCATCGTTCACGATGTAATTATTCTAGAAAAAAAAATTTCTTCCTTTTTCAGTCAAATTTCTCTAAGTCCATATTTCTTCATACTTGATCGTTTTTGCATCATTCTTTGGTCATTATACTTCATATTTTCTCATCTTTGACTTGTTTTTCTCTGATTCTTCGATGAAATATATGCAATGACGGATTCATCACAATCCCAAACTTAATATATTGTTTGTCCTCAAGTAACTTGCCTACAACTGCATATTTCAAATAGGTAAGCAAGCTGCAACAATAACAAATGAACATCACCATTCAATACTTGTTTTACCTGATCACCTTTCTAGTTCCCGACTTCAATTGAGCAAAATTGGAAAAGTTCTTCCAACATAACAAGTACCCAAACTATCTCTCATCTCACTAATTCACTCGCATTGAAAAGGTAATCACACGATCAACGTACAAAAGTATCTATAATATAAGAAAACTCATTCTACCCATTCTGCCTATTTTGTCCTTTTGTTCCAAAAACACAACACGTGGCTTCATTAGAAAATATAAAATAGTTTATTTCAAATCTTAATTTTTCTTTACATTTTATTCCATTGAGTCATGGCGGTAACAAAATCAGGCCTTCTCGTCTTCTCTCTCTTTCCACTACTCTATTCCCCTTCCTTTCTTGTCTCTTCCGTTATCATGTGTGAAATCAGTTTGGCGTATTTGAGGAGGCTTTCGAGATCATTGACATGAGGACATGTTGTGAAGACGACTTTGAGAATGAAAGGGAGCTTCTCGGCACTCATAGCTTGAACTTCGAAGGTGTACTGGGAAAATCCACGCTTTCTTTGCAAGCTTGATGTCTTTGATTCCGACTCCGGTGATCACAAGCTACTCTGATGCTTTTGGAACCTTATACATGTTGAATTTTATTTGATTTTTGAAAACTTATATCTGTGGTGTTCGGTTTCTTTATGGTATATTTGCGGTTGCAATAACGTGTTAACCCTAACATCGTTCCCAATGAAAATCTCTTCAAATCACAACATTTGATTTCGCCGGTCTAGACAGTTTTAATTCATAGCAGTAGTTATTCATCATTTTCATTGAGTTTTGGTGTTATCGTTTGCTGTTCAGTTTTTCGGTAGCGGATTTGGGGGCAGTTTTGTTGAATTGTCATCCTTATGTTTTGAATCTACTTTAGTTGCAGATATCTTTAGTTTGCAGCAGGACTAAGAGTAGTGAAACTGATTTTGGGTAATGATTCGTTATACGGTAGCCATTTTACAAAAAACAACAAAGAAAATCCAGAATATTCATCATTGAATCCGACCACAAATTCGTTTCATTCACTTTTTTTCATTCACTTTTTTATCAAAACATGTCCTTAGTGTTTTATAATAATAGCTTCTTTTTTTTTCTTCTGGTGTAGAACCATATAACAGGATATTACTTGTAGTGCTTCATATTACAGAGTTACTAAATTTATCTAATAAATTTGGTGTCTCTGATATTAATATTAAATAAGAGTAAAAATTGAAGCCATGTTGCTTAGCCATAATTCTGAACCAAGTTTTGGAGATTCTCATGAAGGATTTGTAGCGGTTACTCAAACAGATTCATCAACATAGTGACCAGAACATTAGTTGTTTGAATTTATTAATGACCATTGTTCATGTGGTCTAACTCCATTTCACCAATGAGAATATATCTGTTTTTGCTGTTAGCAGGTCAAATAACTTGTATGCGTGGGATCTCAGCTCGGGTCGAGTCCATCATACCCTTACTTTTTATTAACACAAATAAAGCTTATACCAAATAGGATGCTCAAATGGTTGCAGGAAAACAATGACCGAAATGGCTGCAGATGGTTCTATTGTGTTGGGAAATCCAGTTGCACCCCAATGAATGCTGACATTTATACTTACATCAACATTGAAAATGCTATACTTCAGGGATCTCGGTAACAGAGAAATTTTCCTTCCTATTGTGTGATGTATTTTATGTTCTTTAAATTCATTCAAACTAATTTGAACAGTACAACCGCCAAAGAAGTTAAGTATCAGGTTGATACATTCTACTTCCCAAAGAAAAAACATGCCTTCTATAAATTTCTATATAATATTAATCGCACGAAATTATTGTACATTACGTTTATATTGTATATAATTTTTTATATCATAGCATTTTACCTTAAAATTAATGGAAGAGTCGGTAGAAAATTGTCTTTTTGATTTGGTAAAATCAATTATACTCATAACTCATATAGTATATATATTATTAAGAATATAATTATGCTCATATCAGGTACTATGTGTGTATATAACTCTCATTTGTTTGTTATTTTCAGTTTTTTATAGGAAAAAAATAATGACAAAATTTTGGAAGATGAAAAATATGTATTTGTGTGTGATGAGAAGGAAAACTCATAGAGAAATTGTTGGCACTTTCAACAGCCATAGATTTGAAGAAGGTTTGTAATTAATTTATATTTAGTTGAAATACTTGTACTCAAATGAATGATATAATTTTAATGTGTGTGGCTAGCTTTTTATATAGACGAAGTTGTGTTATTTTTATTTTTTCAGATTTAATTCGGTTATACTTATGAGTATATGAACTTAAGGGGTAAAAATATAAGATTGGAAAAATTGGTGCATAAAAATTCTATAAAACTAAATTATAAATGGTTTTTAATAAATAAGTTGAGTTTAACATTTGTTGATTTCTTTTGTAGAAAATACAATTGAGCCACATATACGGTTCTAACAAAGCAATATGTAGTCACATATTGAGTTTAAGGTTTATACGGTTCTAACAAAGTATTATGTACTACTACATGTGGTATTGATTTTAATTGATGATTTTTTTTATTGAGCCACATAAACCACTCAATATATAAAATTTGGGATAAAATTATGAAAATTCTTTTTTCTCACCACGTGTGTTAATTTTTTCATACACTATCAAAAATTTGAGAAACATTTTTCTCTATTTCTCTATTTTCTAATTCAATTATAACAAAAAATATAAAGTATTGATAAACTCTATGGCTTAAAGTGGAACCGTATATTATTTAAACTTCAAGACAAAATTACATGAGTAAGGGGTGTTTAAATATCATCTTATTTATTATCTATCTTTTGACACAACTTATTCATTAACTTCTATATAATAGGTTAAGGTTTTAGATGAGTTGGTCTTTCACATGGTTATAATATGTATCTAGTGTTAGTTGTATAATTCTTGTTTAGTTATATTTGGGCTTTTAGCATCTGTATTTGGCCATGGGCACTTTGCCTATATAAAGGGCTATTATATTTGTAATCAAAAGTAGCAATAATAATATATTCAGTTAGATAGTTAGTTAAACAAAATAATACATTCTCCTTCTTGTTTTCACAAAATCATCTTTCTTGAAACCTTTGTTCCAACAAATTGGTATCAAGAGCTTGTTTGCGATTCAGAGAGAATCTAATTGCAAACAGATCAACAACATCAACACAGTTTCCAGCGAATCTATCGGTTTTCAAAGGTGAAAACTATCAACGGTGGGTTACGCAAATGAATGTTATTTTCAGATTTCAAGATGTCGTAGAAATCTTGAATGATGGAATATCAGAACTGGAAGTAGATATTACGGAAGCCCAAAAATTTGCGCACAAAGATCAGAGGAAGAAATATGGCAAGGCGTTGTTCTTAATTCACCAGTGTGTGGATTGTGACATATTCGAGAAGATAATTGAAGAAGAAACAGCAAAAGGATCTTGGGAAAAGCTGAAATCCTTGTATGGTGGAGATGAGAAACTGAAGAAGGTGAAGTTACATACATTGAAGAAGCAGTACGAGATACTTCAGATGAAAGAGGATGAATCTATTTCTGCATATTTCTCAAGAGTTGTAATGATAACAAACCAGATGAAGGCATGTGGTGAAGTACTTACGGATCTGTAAAAGATAGAAAAGGTATTGAGATCCTTAATTGCAGATTTCGATTACTTTGTTGTGACAATTGAAGAGGCCAAGAATCAATCTGAGATGAAGTTGGAAGAACTTCAAGCTTCATTGGAGGCTCACGAAATGAGGCTGCAACAGAGAAACTCAAAAAGAGAGAAGGCAGCTGAACAAGCATTGCAATCAAGATTCAGCAAGAAAGTTGGAAAAGAGAAGTCGAAGCAGCGAAAGAATCTTGCTGATGATGAGAAGTCAAGAAAGAATACTGATTCGAAAGGTGTGGACAACAAGTATTCTGGGAAGAAAGTTGACACAAAAGAGGTGCAATGTTACAATTGTCAAGGTTTTGGCCACTATGCTAGAGACTGTCGAAGAAAGAAAGCTGTGAGGTCGAAAGATAATGATGAAGCTCAATATGCACGAGCTAGAGATAGTGATTCTGATGATGTGTTGTTGTTGGTGAACACTCAGCCGACTGCTGAGAAAAATAACATGTGGTATCTGGATTCTGGATGTAGCAACCACATGACTGGCAATAAAAATTGGTTTACCAAGTTAGACGAGTCAGTCAAAAAGGTGATAAAGTTTGCAGATGACATGCATATCAAATCAGGTGGTGAAGTAGATATTTTGATTATCATAAATGATAGTCGAAGGCTACTATCACTGAAGTTCTATATGTACCTTCGATGACAAGTAACTTGATAAGTGTAGGTTAAATACTTGCAAAATGCTTCAATATGATGTTGGAGAATAATCAGATGAAGGTATATAGGGCTGATGGGAGGCTAATAATGAAAGCACCATTGGCGGAGAACAAAATGTTCAAGGTTGAACTTAACACATCAGATCACAAATGTCTTGCTTCGATTACAGAAGAAGACAAGAACTGGCTATGGCATCACAAGTATGGACATCTAAACTTCAAGAGTTTATGTATGCTCAATCAGAAAAGAATGGTACTTGGGTTTGCGTATGTGAAGGAACCAAAACAGATATGTGAGAAATGCTGCAAAGCCAAACAGGCAGGGAAGGCGGTCAAACGTGGCTTGCCTATAAGATCAAGGCAAAAACTGGAGTTGGTTCATTTAGATGTGTGTGGTCCCTTTGAAGTAAAGTCGAATGGAGGTAACAGGTATTTCCTTACTTTCATTGATGAATTCAAAAGACATATGTGGATTTACCTTATTAAAAGGAAAAGTGAGGTATTCATACAGTTCAAGAAGTTAAAGTTGCATGCCGAGAAACAAAGTGGCTGCAAATTGAAGAAGTTAAGAACTGATGGTGGTGGTGAATATACTTCTGCTGAATTTGCTAGATTTTGCAATGAGGAAGGTATAAAGCATGAGGTTATTTCACCCTATACGCCTCAGCATAATGGCATAGATGAGAGAAAGAATAGAAGTGTATTGAACATGACAAGATGTATGTTGAAAGCTAAGAATATGTCTAAGAGATTTTGGGCTGAAGCAGCTTCGACAACAGTATACATTCTAAATAGATGCCCAACAAAGAAGATGGTCGAAAAGACACCGCATGAGGCTTGGACAGGGTCGAAGCTAAATATAATTCATCTTATAGTTTTTGGATCAATATGTTTCAGGCATGCACCTGAACAATTAAGAAAGAAGCTGGATGACCGAAGTTAAGTCATTATGCTCATAGGTTATCATTCAACTTGTGCATACAAGTTATATTCACCAATCGAAGATAAACTAGTGATCAGTAGAGATGTTCTTGTAGACGAAAGAAAAGGGTGGGATTGGAGTCAAAGTTCAGTTCGACAAGAATCAGACACAGTCACAAGTGTGTTCGAAGAAGATGAACAGAACAAAGGTGATACTTCGACTGGTCGAAACGAAGAACCGCCTGTGCAGAATGAAAGAAGATCCACAAGAATAAGAACTGAGTCGACTAGGCTTATTGGATATGAGAGGTTTCCAGATCAAGCAATTTATGAAGATGGTGACTTAATCGAAGAAGCCATGATGATGGCTAAAGCAGAACCAATTGATTTGGGCGAAGCCTTAAGCAATTTGAATTGGTGTGAAGCCATGAAAGAAGAACTTAGAGCCATTGAGAAGAACAAGACTTGGGAGCTTGTCGAAAGAACCAACAAGAAACCAATCGATGTGAAATGGATCTACAAGGTGAAACAAAGGCCAAATGGTGAGATTGCAAAGTATAAGGCAAGACTGGTGGCCATAGGTTTTCTACAAAAACCTGGTATTGACTTCTATGAAGTATATGCACCTGTAGCAGGGATCGAAACAATCAGGATTATTGTTTCGATAGCTACATGTAGAAGATGGAAAATGCACCAACATGATGTAAAGTCAACGTTTTTGAATGGTTCATTGGAAGAAGAAGTCTACGTTAGTCAACCACCAGGTTTCAATGTCAAAGGGCAGGATTCAAAAGTTTACAGATTAAGGAAGGCTCTCTATGGCTTGAAGCAAGCTCCTAGAGCTTGTAATAAAAGGATAGATAACTTCCTAATCAAAGCAGTTTTCACAAAGTGTGTCTATGAACATGGGGTATATGTAAATGATGTCGAAGGTGTCAACCGAATCATTTTATGTCTCTATGTTGATGACTTACTCATTACAGGAGCAGACAAAGCTGAGATAACGAAGGTAAAGTCAAAGTTAATGCATAAATTTGAAATGTCTGATTTAGGGATCTCTCCTATTTCCTGGGAATGAAATTCAAAGACATCGAAAAAGGAGTTTTCTTGCATCAAACGAAGTATGCTCAATATATACTGAAGAGGTTCAATATGAGAAACTGTAAGGCAACTGTTACTCCATTAGAGACTTGAGTGAAGCTGAAAAAGGAATCGAATGATGAATTTGTAAGTTCGACCCTTTACAAACAAATGATTGGATCTTTGAGGTATCTTTGCAATACTAGACCAGATATCTGCCAAAGTGTAGGATTATTGAGCAGATTTATGGAGAAGCCTAAAAAATGTCATCTCATTGCAATAAAGAGGGTGTTGAGATACATAAAGATAACTATTGATCATGGTATACTGTTACCAAATAAATCAAAGAAAAGCTCAGATGTCGAAGTTCATGGATACACTCACTCAGACTTCAGTGAAGATCAAGACGAAAAGAAGAGTACTGCAGGATACATTTTC